ACATAGATTTATGATAAATAAATTAATGAAGGCATTTCAGTCGTTAAAATTTGGGTATATTTAGATAATTTCATAATTTGAGAGCATTTAATGTATAGTATTTGTGTGAATACTCTACATATCATCAAAGTAATCCTATTCAAAATAATATTAAACTTTATTTGTATTAATTTATTTTTTATTGTTTTTTAATTATTAAGAGTGAAGATGAATTTGATATTGATATTTCCTATTAGTCTATATTTAATACTTCCCTAATAATGAAATTATATCGTACAGAAAATATGACAGTAAAAGTAAATAATATTAGTTGGCCCTCCGAATAGATCACATACTATATTGGTCATTGAATAATTGACAGTAATTTTCGAAATTATGTAATGTATGAGGTAGACAGACAAAATAATTTTCTTTTTCTCAGTCGAATTATAATTGTTCATTAATAATTATGTTTAATGACCAAAACATATGTAGATTGTTATTGTATCTTTTCCAATAATAGTCCTATGTCTATGGTCTTTTTTTTGTTTCAAAAGGAATTTAGTAATATTTAAAATATTTATGGGTGTGTATAATCAAGAAAAGATGTATATTTTTTAAGTTATCCGCAAAAAAATATATTTTCCTTCATAACTCTTTTTTTTTTTCGTGCGAATCCGTGTACATAAAATTCTTCATTTCTACAAGAAACTCCCTTACGTTTGACATCTCATTCATCAAAACCCATCGCTTATAGAGCCGGAAGAGCTATCTATCCAACCATATAATATGTGAAGATAGATTGAAAGGTTTATTTTTTTTTTTCTCTCTGGCCCTATGAAATGTCTTTTATAATAATTATTATTGATATTATACATTTAGGCCGAACTATACGAGTGGACCAAAGAGTGTCATTTAGTGGGCGCCAAATTTCGAGATACGCCGAATTTTTTAGCTTAAGAAAAACATTTGTTTCTTCTTTTTGGTTGTTACCTTATCTTATCTTAATTCAGTCGGTAATATTAGTTCATATTATGAGATGATGATATTTATTTCGGTTTTTTTTTTTTATCCTCTTCTTCTTCGACTTTAAGGTTATACGGGGTTTTCCCGAGTCAGGGGGTGTGGGCGGAGATTTAAAAGACACTCCTGGGACTGGGACGCGAACTCGTGACTATTTTTTATATGTCTTGATCAGATTGCAGGACAACGGCGGTGCTGTCTGTGCACACGCGTTAGCCCGTTCGGCCACTCCGCCCACTCTTTATTACGAAATATATTACCTGAAATATTGGATTTTTTTTTTTATTGAGGGGTGAAGTAAAGGAGGATTATGATTTGGGGTGGGCACCCCACCTTCCCTTCCCTCCCAAAAATGTGGATATACAATGGTTCTAAAAATACCTGATAGGTACTAAAATGTCTTCTATTATTTTAAGTAATACTCAGGTAATTCCTAATCACTATATACTTTATTTATGAAAAATTCTAAGTTAAATTTACCGTTTATAGACACTTTAAGAGGAATTTTTAACATTAATATGAACCAAAGGATTAGTTCTGAAGGTGAATAATGGCAGATGGGTTGAGTAGGCAATAAATTTATTCTTTTGCCGATTGTTGTTAATTATTTACATTATATGTTTAAAAAAATTAAATTAAATATTTAAAAATAATGACAGTGAAAAAATCGAGGTTTTAGCCTAATTAGTGTTTTTAATATAATTAAAAAAATAAAATAAATTCTGCATATATTTAAGTTAAGAACTGGCAAACTATATAGTCCGTGGTACAGACTTCTCTAATTATTAACATCTGGCTGAAACTTCGTAAATAGTTTCATCTCATCGTAACCTACAACTATTTTATTTATGGAAACTCTTGAAATTGGGACGGTTTCAATCTGGAAGGGGTCAAACTTTGTCTATTTAATTAGGTACCAAAAACTTGTAATACCCATGTGCTTTCTACTTCAAATGTAAGATAAATAGATCACAAAATCGATAAAAAAGGTGACCTTAAAAAATATTGAGCCCTTTGGCGTGGACCTACGCTAAAATTTCAAAATAACGAGGTTATATAGCACAAACGGCACAATATTTTTGAAGGCCACCTTTTTTCTCGACTTTGTGATCAAACTATCTTATGAAAGCAATATAGAAGCAAATGTGTATTTACGAGTTTTAGTAGCTAATTAAATAGGCAAAGTTTGCCTCCTTCCAGATTGAAAAGACCCTAATTTCAATAGTTTTCGTAAATAAAATAATTGTAGGTTACGATGGGATGAAACTATTTATGAAGTTTGAGCCGGATGTTAATAATTTCATAAAAAGGGGTCTGCACCACGGACTATAGATTAATGAATCAAAATGTTAAATTTATATTCTAAAGAAAAGTGGTCAGGAAACATTCCCGAAACAAAGTTCAGCCCATCGCCCTCCCAATCTGTTCATATGTACGCTCTCTTTTGGGTGTATAACGATTATTATCTATTAAAAGATTGAATATTGTTTATTACTAGTACAGTGTCTATTACTTGTACATTTACAGAATAGTCATACTACAGTGCGAAACAAGCTCGAAGAAAAAAAAAGTATTGATTCGTCAGTAGAGGAAACGTAAGTTGTGAGGAAAAATATTGAAAACGATTGATATACGATCAACTATACCAAGTTTTTTACAATCAATTCACATCTCGGATACTGAGCTTAATCACAAATAGGAAATAATAATTAAAAAACAAATTTTATAAATTCATAAATATATATTATATATATAACATTTTACAAAATATACACTTTATTACAAAAATATCGCTATGTACAAAAATACTACAGATAAACTCCTTCAAAAGATATGTTATAGTTTCTTCAGGTATCGTCAGTATTCACAAAGCGAACTGCAAGCTCGTTGCTTACACAGAGCACAATCTTCTTCGTTAAACATTTAATCCAGAGCACTTAATGGATCTAGTAAGTGTCCTTACTGTACATAGTACTAATACTAAATACCTACAAATATAAATCACAGAAAAACCTTACTTGCTAAATATACAATTCGGTGAGTCGATAAGAAAAATAAACACAAAATACAACATTCACATCTTGATAATTTACAATAGTGTTTCTTTTTTACAAAAATATACAGATATATTATAAATTTATCTATCTGTTGATATATTTTAAAAAATATCCTGGGAACCGCACTTATTAAATATATATTTATCAGACAGTGAACACTTCATAAACTTTTAAAAAATCTTTCTCTGTTTTCGTTTATAATTATTTTACTATAAGATAGGCACTTTTTTATTTTCATTTGTTCATTAAATATCTGTATTATTTATATGGAGACTTTTTTTTACATAATAACTTATATAATATAAATTATTCTTTTGAAACAGGATGAATTGACATGAAGTTTTCATGTTCAGGAATTCGCAGTTCTGTTTTGGTTTCATGGCATCGATCCTCTTTCTTCCTTTGTGTACAAGATCTGTAAACAAAATAATAATAATAAAACAAACTTGTTCACATATACGTGGCATTATTTAAAATATTTACTATTCTCTCAATATTAATCAAATAAATAAATAATGTTCATGGTATGCTATAAGAAAGAATCGAATACCAATTTTTTAAGACTGTGAATATTAAAGTAAAATGAATAAAAATGGCCTTTTTAAATTTTTAAATCTTAAGAAATAAAACAAATATTTGAACATAAAAATTAATCAATTTTTTTTTAATTTTTCAAGTTTATCCTAAAAATTAGGGCTTAAACTTTTTATATTAATACGAGTAAAAGAGGATAATGGTACCAGTATTTATGTGTATTTAGATGAGATAAAAATTAAATGAGAAGGATTTGCTTTGCATCCATTAAAAAATTTAAATGCTTTTTAAATAACTGTTATATTTTCTTAATTGCTATTAAGAATTTACTGCTATTATAGATACGATTTAATTTTTTTTTATTCTATCAATTAATTTGTTTTTAGTTTATTATTCACTTTAAGCTTTATTAACGCTGCCAGGTAAATACTGTTTTATAGTGCTGATACGATTTAATTTTTTTTTATTCTATCAATTAATTTGTTTTTAGTTTATTATTCACTTTAAGTTTTATTAACGCTGCCAGGTAAATACTGTTTTATAGTGCATTCCTGTTTTCTTGTCTGAATGGTCCAGAATAAAACTATAATTTTCTTCTTCATATATCTTTGATATATTTTTTTATATTATATTAAATACTTGAGTTAAATAAGTAACTTTATATTAGTTTAACTGAAATAATAAGTATTACATTAAACCGTATTTAAATATGGTAAATGTTGTACTTTTTAATGCATTTAAATACGAATCAATTAAATAAATGTATAGCAATAATCGCAATGAATTCTGAAGGTTGACTTATAAAACTATTTAAAAATGGCATAACGTTTAAATAGTTCACGATTTGAATATTAACTTTTGAATATTTCAAGTAGCAAGAAGTAAAAAAAAATATTTATTTATTTTAATTTTTTTTCATCCTCCATTTTATTTTTCATCTATTACAATATATAGTTGAAAAACAAATATTTAGCATTAGGAACGCCAATTTCATTGGATATCTAACTCAATGCATGTGAAATTATTTTTAAATTAATATTATCAAGGCGGATTAATTTTTATATTTTATAAATTGGGCAAATGCAAATTACTTCGATATGTAGAACCCACTTTTTAAAAATCTTTAATTTTGGTAAAAGTCACTAATTAAATTCAGTTAGTGAGTATTGTATGATCATAATTTCTAGCTTGTGAAACAAAAATACACAGACTAAATTAATATATGAATCGAATTCGAATACATGACTTGGTTATGATCGTCACGCGAAACGTTATAGTTTGCTAAGTGAAAATGAATACCATGTTGGACTTGATGGCTTTTTCTTGAATGCCTACTGTATTTGAAATATATATGCATATATTATATATATATATATATTAAATAAATAAATACATTTAAAAGCCCACTCACCTTAGGCAATTGCACCTGTGCGCTTCTGGGCCACCAGCAGATTCTTCCTTTTTGGCTTTGACCCTCCTGTTCTGGAACCAGATCTTGACCTGCTTTTCGGAAAGCCTGAGGCAGGTCGCTATCTCTATCCTCCTCAGCCTGGAGAGGTACATGTTGGAGGAGAACTCCCTTTCCAACTCCAGCAGCTGAGTGCTTGTGAAGGCGGTCCTGATCCTCTTGGAGCTACTTTCTTCGCTGCCATCCTCGCTCAGGCTACGCTTCCGTGGTGGAGAGCATTCCGTTTCTATAACCAAAGGAAATAGATATTATTATTATTTAAATAAATCAACTTTTTAATATCCGAAAAATATTTTATATAAAGTTTATCAAAAAATCAAAATAAATCTCACGAAATCACATTGACTCCTCGCCATGAATCTGCTAAATCCTGTCCTACGCTATACTTTTACACTTATCCCTGTCGATCAAATAAACATCCTACTTAGAATCCCCCATACATGGCTGAAACGAAGATGAACTTGATAAACAGCTTGATAATTATCATACAGACTTATCTTAAGATGATGACTAGAAAAATATGTCTATTTTATATTTTATATTTATAGACTTATCAGTCTTTGTATAATAATTTTTATGTGAAAATTATTTTTTAAATAAGAATTTTATGCATCCAACAATAATGAAATATCCTGAAACCAACCCAAATGTTATCCACGCTGAATTCAGTAATTCAGTTTGTTATCAATTTTATTTCCTCCTGATCATTTATTTGACTTGTGCAGTTATTATTTTTAAATATAAAAAATAATTGTAACTTTGTTTTTTAGCGCATTATATTTTTAGATATTCTATCAATATATATATTTGTAGTTCTATTGTTCTGTTATTATTATTTCAAGATAAACAAATTCGCTCTCTCATTTCAGTCTCCGCGATGTAATTACTTTAGTTATATTTATTAATTGCAAATCAAAAAATAAAAAGTAATGTTTTTATTGAACTTTAATTCGTACCTTATATTCTATACTTTATTTTCGAAATCTTTAAGACTTTGCTCTATCCTTATGGTAAACGGCCACATTAAAAGATGTGTTGTAAACTATAATTTTTAAGTTAAAGAAAAAAAGCAAGATATAAGTAACTTTTCACTTGCGAAATAATAAATATTTGACTTAAATATTGATTAAAAAATAAATATCAAATAAATTGAATTAAAAATAACCTTTATCCGAATGGCCAGGAGCATTGCTGTATTATGATATAACAAATCATCCATATATTTAAACAATAAAAATTTAAAATTAAAGACAAAAAATGCAGACGAATAATTTACAATATGTAAGGTATTGTAGTAAATTTATAAAAGAAATTAAAAAAAATATCTATTATAATATTTGTTTTAAACAATATGATAAATGAATAAAGAGAAGTATCAGGGTCTGTTTTATAGTAAACATTTCATATTGCCGGAAAACAAAATAGAATTTATCTGATGAATCTATAATGTATCAGTATAGCAAAAATCTCGAAGAATATAGGTTTCAATATATTTAATTAAAAAGACATTTATTTTATTTTTGTAATTAATAAAAAATAAATTTTACTCTTATTACTCTAACTTACTTAGCATAAAGATCAATTAATTTTATAGAATTCTATCCCGCTACTATTTTGAAAATTTAAACAGCCTTTGCAACTGGAACTAACGCGTCAGCTGTGCGGTTCAATGGAAGTAAAACTGATTTTCTTATAATAGAGGCACTCGACTCGAAAACGACTGCCTGTGTATTCTTCGACCTAATAGGGATGGTTCCTTTGGAAAGTGTGAATGGGACAAAACAAATTAGATGTAGCTAGCTGGGTTCTTTGGGCTCAGGTATAAGCTACAACTCCCACGAGCATCAATGAAGTCTTCTCATGAATGAGACACCTCCTCCCCTTACCTGCCCTTTGCTTTAAGCCCTTGTAGCCTTGACTTCTCCCTTCATCGGGTAGTTGTTCGGTTCTCTAAGACCTCTTGAGTGTAAGTACCTTGGCTAGAAATAAGTCCTTACCTCATTCATTTGAGAAACGAAGATAATGTGAGAAACTGATTGTTCATATTTATTTCAAATCATAAAAGGGCATATTTTTAAGGCATTTTTTTTTCAGATATAACGTATCATTGAAACCCATAATTGATCTTGGTTTCAATACTTCGTAAGGAAATGCCGTTTCTTAGTTGTCATTTGTTCAAAAATTGTCTTGACCGAGATCACGCACATTCGCCTGGTTTTTAACCTTAATTAACTGAGAGTACTCAATAAAAAGTGGCTTAGTGTGTCCCAAGGACTCGAAATCGAGACCTTAGTGCTGCCTTAAGAGGACATTATTTATTTGAAAAAATTTTAATTCAATATAATTTTTATTCAAGCTCTCCCCTTTCCTTGTGATAATTAAAATAATAATATTCCTCAAATATTTGGAGAAAAATATAATCAAAAGGATGTTTCAAGATTAAATATCCTAACTGAAAATATGAATTAAGAATCTTAAAAAAAAAAAAAAATGAATGCTGTGAAGGTGTGTCCGTTAAACCTTGCTTTAAGAGATGTTGACGTTTTTTTATGTTTTTCATTGTTTTGAATTATTAGGTTTTAAGTAATAAATTAAAATGTTCTCCTACGACCAATTAATTTAATGTAAACCATAGCATTCATATTAAATGTTGTTCAAAGTGATTAACTCATTATCAGCAGTGGCTGAACTGCACTGAACATGTAGTGTCGTTTCGCAAGTTTTAATTATCCTTCAACGTTTAATTTGATCAAAATTTAACATCAACGTTAATGTTAACATTTCATTAACATTAATAAATTAGTAAATAAATAAAGTAATTTGAAAATATATTAATTTTATTTATTATAACATGAATAATTCATAACAATGAAAATCTTTAGACGTGAATATGTGTCTTCTAAACAAAACTTTAAGAGATATATCTTCATAAATAATTTTATTTCTTTTTTGAGATCCAGAATTTATATTTATATCAGTTTGGATACTTAACTCTGAAACATCGTGTACACTATTAATTTATTTTAATTTAATTATTATGACAGCCTAAATAATGATTGAAATTAAACTTTAATTAGCCACCAAAGGGACTGTTTTTATGTATGTGTCACTTAAATAAATAAAAGAAACATAAATAAATAATCTATTACTGTTTTATATATATATAAGGACATTAATTACCAACATATTATTCATTATTTATTTTGACAACGTTTGGACCAACACTAGGGCCATTTTCAAGTTTTATTGAGTCCTCCATTAAATTTCCATTATTCACTGCCGTATTAATGTTTCTGAGAAAATTGTGAAGCCAGGATAAACCAACAAATATTGACATTTAAAACAGCTTATTCATTCGGATAGCTTATTTCAATTAGTTAAATAATTTAAAAAATCTAATAAGAAAGAATTACCTAGGTATAGAGCCATGTACAATCAATACGAGAAAATTTGAAAAAGATTTTTAGTGTAAAATATTAGAATGGCCTAGAAAGTACTGAATTAAGGACTTTTAATACATCCTAGGATTACTCATCGGTGGGTATCATCTTATGACATTTTCAATAGATATGAAAGGAAGAAAATATAATTCCGGATTGTTACAGGACTTTAAGCTGATAAAAAAATTTAAAAATACAAAAAACTATGACATAAATAGAGAATATTATCCACAGAAATAATAGCGTTATTTAACAAACGTTTAAACTGTAAATATATGTCATATATTGTCATGTAAATATATTATATATCATTAAGACAATATACATTTTAAATTATTAACTAGTGTAGGTATGTCACTATTTATTCACAAATAATATTCATATGATATACACTAATTAAAAGTTGAATACAACAAAAAGCATCTTTTTGAACAGTACCATAAAAGTGGCAAATTTAATGTTATGAAACGAATAATACCGTTGTTTGATACCTTAACAACACTTCAAAATTGATTTGTTTATTAAAAAAAAAAAAAAAAAAAATGGGCCATTTTTCATATTCAGAGATAAACATGAACATTATCTTATGGTTGAAACATAATTTTGCTAAGGCAAAACAATAATAACCCTTACTTATCAACCTATCTGGGAGCGTCTTAAAAAATTAATCAGAGAACAAAAAAGAATATTAATGCGATTTTAAAAATATTTTTTTAACCAATATTTACCAAGTTAGATATGCTCAAGTAAGTTGAGTTTCTCAGGAATGCTACTTTCTTCTTGTACTAAGAAGAAAGGAAGGTGAAATATCTGAAATGCTCTTTATATTTGTTTGTATTTAATAAATTAACTGTAAAAATAATTTAGATCAGATAAATGTATTGAGAAACGCTGCAAAATTTCCTAATTACCATACTGTACGCGCACATCAATCATTTAAAGGCTTAGCTGAATGATTGAAGTCCCGTCTTTGAGTTTTATTCAGAGGTCAAGATTTAATGGAATTAAATTCAGTTTCAATAATGAAGTTGTAATCATTTGGTATAATTGCTTTCATATTAAAAACAACAATAATAATTATTATAGTAATGATAATTAATCCTCCGACTATTTCACATTATCCAATAACTCCTATCATATAAACCTAGCGCACTGTTGAACTGACGTACCTGTCTTGAGAATGTGAGGTACCGCTGGCTCTAAATCCGGCGCGGGGAGTCCCTTCAGCGGCCTCGGTCTTCGGGGAAGACATTGCTCTGGAGGTTCCCAGCAGGTCGGCCAGTAAGGGCGGTAGTAGGGCGGCACCAAAGAGAAGAAGTAGCCTCCGGAGGTGATCGGAGGCGGCGCGGGCTTTGCGATGAGGGAATCGACGAAAAATGACCTGGACATGGTGGACGACGGATAGTCAACAACTGATGATCGCGGTGGCAGAACAACCCCTATAGCCTGCTACCCCCACCCCGATGCAGGCATAGCATAGGGTGGGGTTCGAGGGTGTACCCTGGGGCACCCCGCCACTTGAGTTCCATCGAAGCGTTATCATTAGAGTGTTTTGTTGTACTTTTATCCAATTAACGAACGCCAGCTTCAGATTGTTAAAAAACAAAACAAATAACATAATAAACATAGGGGGCTTCCAAACCGCTGGTAGCTTCAAAGTTTGAATAACGTATAATTAAGAGGAAAGGTAATTTCTAGCAAATATGTAGATAAAGAGTTTTTCTTTTTTCCCTTACGACTACACCGAAAGTTGCTGGATTTTAACTCTACTGAAGTTAATTCTTCGTATTTCAATCTATCGGCTTCTATTATTAATATTAAAATCTCCGAAAAAATACACAGATAAAACTTTCTTTTTATCTAGTATAATGCAGCTACATTCTAATATCTTAAATCTTAATGAAACGAAAAATTGAAAATTAATTATGTAATCAAGGTATCATCGAAATACAAAGGCTAAATATTCCTATTCATCCAGATCTCAAATAAAAAATATAATTGATGATTCTATAAATATGTATATAAATTACTAGTACGTTTTCAATAATTAACTATTTCTTAAATAGGACTGAAAACCTACAATTCTGACCTTATTTCATTCTAAACGGACTTGGGATAAATATTCCTAAGTGAAAAGTAATGCTAGGATATATAAACCGTATTATTATTGTTAAATGAAAAAATATAGTGAACCACAGACAAAAACATCGATGAATTTTCATGTATTGTTTTGAATCGTAGTTATTTCCAAAATATTTTGTATTGTATAAATAGATATAAGAGACTAGTTTTTGAAGTGGTCACCATTGATAAATTCGAGTAATACAAATTAACATCCAGTAATATTTTTAATGATGGTGGTTTACACTAGATTCTCTCTACAGTTATGTTGTCCTTTCTGGAAGAAGAAACAGTATTTTTAAGATGTCTTCTTTTTATTTATTTCTTGTCTATGCTTTGTCAAGAGTCGTCTGTGATTCAATATTGTAAGTATATAATGAAATCTTTGTGGATATTTGCAGAAAAGGAGTCACTCAACTATTTTATGATAAATGAATACTTGCTTAAATGAATAATCAACAGTCCAGTCATTGCCTTCGAAATGATTGTGGAAGTACTTCCAGTTATCAATTATCTGATATGTATCTTGAATCAAAATCGGCAAAGTAAGATAATTCAAAGTTCTGAGATATCGAAGTATTTTGTTTGGTCTTTATACTATATTAGAAATAAATTAATAAACTCTATTACTAATTTTAGTAAGTAATCTAAAAATAAATGGTAAACATAAAAAAAAAAATAGTATTTCTTTTTTAAAGGAATATTATCAAAACTATTCAATTATGGCAATGTCAAACACTATAGTTTATTTATGAATTCTCTCATTTCTTCATTTTAATATGACTGTCAAGATTTAACTAATCATTCGTTGTTTTTTTTCGTGTTCGATCGTGAGGGCTTTTTAATGAGTTCTATTAGAGAATATAAATATAAAATAATAATGAATTGTGTTGTATTATTTGATCAAAGATTATGTTATTCATTACTATTTAATTCATTAAATAAACATTTACTTCATTTTTGTTTTGTTTTTTCAGATACGGAAGAAATCAGTCTTCATTAAATGTGTTTTGATATGTCATTCAGTGTAGTGTATTTCAATTCGGTTTAGTGCGTTCATTTTGTTAAATTGTTAATTTTCAAAAAAGTGCTGTGTTTTTAAAAATTTCTGATTAGTGCTTCAGAATTCTGCAGGGAATTCGGGACCGAAATACAAACATGCCGATTATAAGGTGAGCTACACAATGTAAAGTATTATTTAACATATCAATCAATTTTATGAAATGAATTTCACGAAATTTAAGAAAATATTACAATCTTATATGTATGCATAACCATTAATGTATTTTAAAAACGTAAGTATGTATGCATATTTATGTATTTTAAAACAAATAATTTTCTAGTTTTAAATTTCTTCTCGAATTAATTTTTAAAAAAACCTAAATTTTACTACATAAATTTAACTTAACGGAGGTACCATTCATTTAACAAAATGCTGAATAGAAAATTTAGGTAAACTCTGGAAGTATCAAAATAGTAATAATAATAAATCAAGTTTTTAAATTGGGTTTAAAGTTGACCTTATACTGAGTATTAATGCCATTTATTTGAAAAAAATTATAACGATTCAAGATTTACGATGGTTAAAATATTTTAGTCTATAACTAAATCGATATTTATTTCAAACTAAATTACTTGCCAACATAGCCACATCATTTGTATTTATCTATTTTAATATACGATGCACTTCTCTTTTGCCCTTTCAAACATTTGCTCTGAAGCTTAGAATTGATAAAATAAAATATATTAGATATAGATGCAGTATATTATTAATAATAGATTTGAAGTTGATAATTCGGTGATGTTAAGAGAATCCTATAAGGTGTCTATTTTTTATAATACAACATTTACGCTAATCTTTGGCGAAGGTCTTTAACATAAGAGAAACTAAGAGCAGATAAATAATGTATTTAGTGTTAATAATAGCTGCAGTATTTGTCAACAGACCAATCCCTTAGCTATTTGTATATTAATAATTTAAATAATATTTTTATGTTAAATATAAAATTCTAACTATGTATTGCTAGATGATTAAAAGAAAAGTTGCGATCTGATTCGGAGTTAATAATATTAGTACTAGTTTCTTCGTTAAACTGTACACGTCCGCAAATTAGCTGGACGGTATACACAATTGAAGTGGAGTAAACACAAGGAAAGAATTATCCAATTAGTAAGTGAAGCTGAAAGCTGATGGTGAAGCCATGACTCACCCCGAGAAGGGGATTAAATAATTACAGGTCCATAATCAGGATAATTACCATCATGTCGGCCAACGGAGGGAATATGACAACAAAAGGCAACCGCAACCCATGTTTGTTGTTACTCATCGATTGTACCGACGGGAGGGAGAGGGAAAAAAAAATTGTGCACGAGTGCTGAAGGCTACAATAGTTCCACGACAATAGACCCCTTCCCTCCCTTGTTTGACGACAATAAAAACGATATCGTACCCTGAGAGCGGCCATAGGAGTTCCTAGAGAGGCACGTTCTCATTGGTCCTTGGAACGTACGGAGGCGTGGCTACGAACCCTTCCCACAGTACCCCGCTCCGGAGGGGCAGATGACGAGCACTGACGTTTATTAAATATTTTCGGGATTAGTCGATGAGGTTTCGAATGCGTTTCTGATTGGACGTTTATTAAAAAGAACACAAGGACTGGAGAGAAAGATCAGTTTAATGGCCCGTTAAGGGATCGGAATGCCGATGACAGAGGGACACAAGTGGATAGGATTATTGCATTGCTTCCGACAACAATCCGCTCGGCCGAATCTATAAGCAGCAATTGCTTCTCTCTTCTTCAGCTGGCTAATACCGACATACCAGGACAACCAATATCCTTGTCATCTATTCGGCGGAACAATTATGGGACATATTAATCCTAATCAAAGGCCCTAGGTATGTGCTATTGAGAACGCTGTTATTGCAATTTGAACAAACTATAAAAATACTGTTAAACTTAGCCCTGCTATCCTTATCATTAGGTGTAACTAGTAATTAAAATAAAATCTTGCTATTAATGGCATTCAAAGCATTTGGGAAGAAATGATCTTAGTGGCAAAGAATTTGAAATTCATGCAAATTGAGTATGAATCAAACCTAAGGAAAATATCTTGATAAAAAGTGAGACGGTTGATCATAGTAAAATGAACAACCATAGATCATCAACCAAACTGGTTGTCATGAAGTAAGGGTGTAAAACCTGTAAGTTATCAACAGCATTATTTAAGTTTATGTACATATTTATTTATAATCATATCTGATGATTTTGCATAAATAAATTAGTGTTGCCACGGTCTTAGTCTTGCACTTTGACCAAGGCCGTCTATCAGTTGCAAGACCAAGACCAAAACTGGTAAAAAAAATCGATTTTTTGAATAAAAGTTAAGGCAAAATAGTTACTAATACTTAACAATCTTAGTTAGTATACGTATAACCAATTGGTATAACCAATATACTTTTGTGTTTAACTCCTCTAATTTTTCATTCCGGCTTAGTTAGGCTTCTACTCTCTAAATAATTACAGTAATATTTCTATAGCAATAAGCTAATAAGTAACTGCAAGAGTGTTGGGAGAGTCTTGCGCAAGACCAAGACTGAGTTCGCAAGACCAATACCCGTCTCGGTCTCGCATTTTGCCAGCAGTAAAATAAATATGTAAACATAAATAAATAAAAAATATATTTAAAAAAGGAAAGATAAGGTTAAAAATGTTTTAAAAAATTCCTTCTTCAAACTGAAAAGACATGACTTTTTTCAAGATCCTTTCTTCTCAAATATGTTGATGTATTTGCTGGAATTCCCTTTTTCATTTAACTTTCTAATGAAAATGGCGTATCTCTCAAAGATATGGACCACTGTCATTCTCTCTCCACACCTCCGACAAATGAACGTGTTTTCTTTAGTAATTAAGTGAATCTGCGTAAGCCTGTCCTATTCTGCCATATGCAAAGTGATCTGAGTCAATTTAGATCAATTGATTTATTTTATGCATGCCATAAATTGTGGTAAGAATTTTACATCTTGAGTGACTTTGATACAATGTTCATGTTTAAATCAAAATGTTTCTGACAGTCTTAAACGTATCAGAAGTTGATTCAAATCTGCTATAAATGAAATATTGGACTATTAAGGTATTTATAGATAATTTTATTTGTGACATGATAAAAAAATTGGTCCAGTAGTCTCGGACAAAATGAGCGGACGAACATACTAATTTTTATTCAATTTTCGAGTTCTACATATCCTGAAACAAAAACACTCAGATTTC